AAAAAAAAAAAAAAAAATGAATATGAAAGGTAGAATAACTATTTTGGAAAAAATATTACAAATTTTAAGAGGAATTTTTAAGCAAACGAATGACGATTTTTGGAACAGAATTACAAATAAGGGAGGGATAGAATGTTTATCTCGTGCAATGATTATATGAATGCAGTAGATTTTTTCAAGAGGAAAATAACAAATGTGAAAAATAAACTAACGATTTCTGTAAAAGCACTGCAAAGAATCAAATGATTTTAAAGCAAATAAATCATGATTTTTTACGGAAGAGCAAATGACGGGAAGCAAAATAATGATCATAAAAAAAAACGATGAGAATAAACAACGGATTCAAATTCCAAATACATATTTGGCTTAGTTGTTTGCGTATTTTAGTAACATCACTAACATGGGATCCGGACACTGATTGCACAGGTGGCCTTACCATCACTAATATTCGTTCTCCGGGGTCCAAAAAAAAAAGATGCACATGATGGATAACTTTGAAACCAACCAAACAAACTATGATTAAAGATATTGCTGAGCTCACGAATATCAAGGGTGATATTTACGAATATCCAGGAAAAACTTGTCCAGAAAAGCACGCAGTATCGCACTAACCTTTGTATTTCTCGAGATTGCTTTCGTAGTGCTCCAGATATTCACTTTCGTTGGAATCAAGAGGATAGTAGCACTCGGATGAGGAGACATCCGATGAATAGCCCTGATGTGAGAATGGCGTCGACGAAAGTGACATGATCCCCCGCACACGATCCCTCCGGAAATCTCGTCACTCACTCAGAGGATGGCGCCAACGTCATCACTTCGCAAAATTGGTAGCTTCACACGTTCAAATGCATAGCACCCTGTGCTCATCGCTTCGTGATAACTATCACAAACATGCGATTATCAATATTATCACTGCGGATGAAACAGAGTCAAAAAACGAACGCCATGAGAATCACCGCAGTGCAGTGATACAAGGGAGGGGAAACGGGGGGGGGGGGGGGGGGGGAGGGGGGGGG